CTTAATATGGTATAGGACTCCAAAAAAAAAAAAAAAAAAAAGGCCTGCCTTCCAAGCAGGGGATATGGGTTCGATTCCCGTTCTCCGAAATTGGTCCTTGGCCCCTACAACACCCTGGGTCTGGTCCTTGGCCTCTACAACACCCAGAGTGGCCCTGGAACTAAGTGATATAAACCTCGTTCGACCGCGCCTGCCGGGTTGGAACCAGTGCGACTCTGAGTCTCTGAACGGTCCTTTCCCCCGATCGGGCTTGTTGCTAAGACAGGTTTCCACCTCCTCCTAGGGATTAACTCAAACCTAGTCTCCTCCTCTCTTATACCAGCAGACAACTTGCGTCAACATATCATTTCTCCCCTTCCTTCCCTCCTGCGCAGATTATTTGACAGAGTACCTCGCTCCACTACTCACCATATGCACAAATGACAAAAAAATACTGCCGTGTATCTTTCCATGTTCTAGCGGAAGATTCATTCCTATACTGCGGTGTATCTTTCCATGTTCTAGCGGAAGATTCATTCCTATACTGCGGTGTATCTTTCCATGTTCTAGCGGAAGATTCATTCCCATTTTGCACATTCGGCGAGTAGTGGAGCGAGGCCCACTATCCCTCCCTTGATTGGAGACAAACAGGACAGGCTTTCTACACCTGGAGTGATCTCCTCTCTCATCCCTGTGCAGGCTACCTGACGATAAACCCTTTCAGATGAAGAAAAGAGGAAAAGCCCTCTGCTTGGCCATTGGAAACGACGAGAAGAAGTCCTTCCGGACATCGGTTAAAAGCATTGGAACGATACAGAGAAGGGGAAGATTAGCATGGCCCCTGCGCAAGGATGACACGCAGTAAAAGAAAAAAAAGGAAAAAAAAAGAAAAAGAAAATGACGAGACGAGCAGAAAAAGAGGAGAGCGTTCACTACAAGGATGCGTTGGAAAGGGTACTTTCGGGGAGGGGTTGTTCCCCAAGAGTCCGTAAGAAGTATAACGGCATTCTTGGAGAGGGGTTGTTCCCCGAGCTTCAGTAAGGGCACTCTTGGGTAGGGGTAGGTAGGGATCGATCCCCGAGGGGGACTTTTGGGGAGGGGTACTTTGGGGGAGGGGTTGTTCCCTAAGCCTCAGTAATTGCATTTTTGGGGGGCAGGGGCTGTTCCCCGAGAGTCAGTAAGGGCATTTTTTAGCAGGGGCATTTTCGTGGAGGAGTTCTTCCCCGAGAGTCAGTAGGGGAGTCTTTAGGAGGGGTTGTTTCCTGGGAGGGGAATAAATCGCTGCTGCAGCGGCGCGGTCGAAGCCACCATCGCCTCTCTATTAGCCTCCAGTTCAGATTCCCCACATCGACGTTGTTATTCTTCCATATGTCTAATTCGCACATCTCATCATCGCCCTAGCCTGTGTCCAGTTATTCAGCTTCCACGGACTGCTGAGTACTACTACCTTCTTCTTCTTCTTCTTCTTCTTCTTCTTTGTACTTCTTCTTCTTCTTCTTCTTCTTCGTACTTCTTCTTCTTCTTCTTCTTCTTCTTCTTCTTCTTCTTTACAAGGAAGGAGCCACTTCGACATGGTTTTTCGTCTTCTTCGTGAGAAGCCGGGTCGACATTCTTCTTGCTCATTCTTCTTATCCTTCTTTTCCTTTGCGCGTGTGTGACTGGGTACACCGGGTAGCGAGGAAAAACGAGTACCCGTGGTGGGGTGGCGTTCAGTATTCATCTTGGGGCTTAACTTTCACCCCAGTCCACTTCGCCGTTTGGTTGAGTGTTTACCTCTTAACGTGGAGGTCACGTGTTCGATCCTTGGATCAGTGCGGACGGACAGATTGTTGTCTGGAGTGAGAATGCAATTCTTCTTCTTCTTCGTCTATTCCTTTTAGATGCCGCTGCATTTTTCATACAGGCGGTTGTGCCCTACACAACGCACCCTCATCATGACTGCATCTGACCCGAAAGCTACATCGTATGCATTCAGGATCAGGGTGCGTTGCATTCCGTGGAAGACGACAGTGGTAGACCAGCATTCGTCGAGAAGAGGGCGGCGGTTGTGGGCAGGTGCAGCGATACCCGCATTTTGGTCAAGGTGCATTTTATCAGACTTGGAGACATCAGGGACTGTGCATGGGGGAGGAGAGGGGGAGGGGGAGACGAAGACGGGAGTGCGCCTAGGAGGCATGTAGAGAGCGAGCGAGAGAGAGCGAGAGAAAGCGAGAGAGAGAGAGAGAGAGAAAGCGAGAGAGAGCGAGAGAGAGCGAGAGAGAGAGACAGAGAGAGAGAGAGAGAGCAAGAAAGGCGGGTTGTGCGGGAGGTGGGGGAGCTGGATACTATAGTATGTCGGAGAAGCGCAGGCCGAGATAGAACGACACGTTGATAAGGAAGAACGGAACAAGCATAGGACCGTTGTCTATTTACAGGCTATCTATACAAGTAGCTATGGACATAACCTATAACAGCACTTTTCGACTTAACATGGTCGTCACTCTGGTCAGATACCTCCATGAAAATTTAGAATGTGAGTACGCCTCCACTTCTCCAAAGGGTTTTGTGCGCGTAGTTCTTCACGGGTATCTTCCTACCGTCTCCCCGCGAAGAGAGAATGCGCCCTCATCATGACTGTATCGGACGTGAAAGGTAGCTTCCATACATCCATCACCGAGGTGCGTTGTGTCCGAAGAGGTGGTAAGACAGCAATATTTGGATGCACGTCATGAACAGATGGTAGAAGCATTATATAATAGGTAACCAAACTGCTCTCACTGCAAAACAGATCCGTTGCATGTAGTCGTTCGGGACATGCAGTAGACATGAGCGGCATCGAAATTGAACTGTCACGAAGCAAGAGAGAGAGAGAGAGAGAGAGAGAGAGAGAGAGAATGAGTGGCATCAACATCGAACGATAACAAAGCAAGACAAACAGACAAACAGACAGACAGAGGCAGACAGGCAGAGAGGCAGACTGGTAGACAGGCAGACACACACACACATACACAGAGAGAGAGAGAGAGAGAGAGAGAGAGAGAGAGAGAGAGAGAGAGAGAGAGAGAGAGAGAGAGAGAGAGAGAGAG